CTGACATAGAAAGAATAAGCAGGGTTTAATGGGGAAAAAGCAGGAGATTGAGACCAAGTTAAAATGGTCAGAGCAACTGCAGACAAACTGGGCTGAAAGACCATAACAGTTCTGTGATTCTCTCACAACGTTTAAAGCATTTTTAATTTCAAATTTCTAGCACCTGCAGAGTTTTGCTTTTGACGAAGAAAACAGGTCACTGAAAGATTCATCGATGAATCACAACTGCAGTACAGCAGAAAACTATTCTTGCTGACCAACAACTAGAAGGTAAAATGGATGTTCGATTAATAAGAGGAAGGGAGGCATGAAATTGGCTCATTTAGTACTGCAGGATTAGAGTACTATCAATTTATTTTCTCTTCATCTTCTTCAGCCTGAGCTTTATGTTCCCAACAGCAAACCAGAGATATTAGTCTTCAGCAGGCCAATGCTGACCTGATGGGCCAAATGGCCTTTTTCCGCATGGTAGGGATTCTATAATTCTACTTCTATTAAAGTCAAACCCCACATTCTATCATCACTACATAAAAAAGGTGAGATTAACTGATAGTGAAATGCTAATGGATGCTATTGGGTGAAAATCAGATTCACATCACACTGTTCAATACTTGACTGGAAAACAGGACTTTTGCTTTCAACATGGAGAAGCTCCTGACTGCCGATCTCATGCACTTTACCCACTTTCTTGCCATGTCGTTCCATGCCTAGGATTATTCTGTCCTCCATTTGTTGTCTAATTGGACCCTTTCTTAGAAGGGCTGGGAAACATCTTTTACCCAGTAAAAACCATTAAACAAATTAGGGAACATCCTTTTAAATCCGTATGTTTGGGTGTGTAATTACAAATCTCCATGCCCATCACATTGAGGTGGGACTTTAACCCCGACATATTGGCCCAGAAGCAGAGTGTCTACCACTGCACCACAATATGTTGGGGGACATTCTTCACTGCAGAATTCCACAGCTCAAATAAAGAATAACTGATCTTGTTCAGATGATGTGTTTCACAAAATATCAGCAAAGGATTTCATTTCAGCGAGCAACTACAAACATTTTATATATGCATAAAGCACTTCGTGAAGGAATGCACAAAAAAGGCAAAGAGCCAAACTTACCCTTCCCTGTGTTTAAAGTGCTTAAAAGCTAAGTTTAGAACTTCATGTACTAAAGCATCTGGCACTGGATGAAGAGGAATCTGTAAAGCAATGAACACATCAGCATAGTTATAGATCTTACATTAGACAAGTACAGGTGATCTAGGCAGTGGTATTCTGCTACAAGACATTGGTTAAAATGTACATTCCCCATTTCATTACAAATCATAATGTCTAAATTTCAGTGATCTTGAGATTAAGACTATACAACAAAAAAAATACTCCTCCCAATCCACTTACATCTCCAAGGAAAAGGTAACACTTACTCCACATTAACATTTACTCCATCTCTTCTGAACACCAGCATTTTATACCTTTCTATTCCAAACGTACATCGAAGTGAAGGTCACTTTTGTCTGTATAATGTGTTGTACTACTAAAGAGGTCAGGATTAAAACACATATTGTGCACATTTTTGGAAAATAAATGAGAGATCAAAGCTCTGAAAAACACATGACTGGAAAAAGAAGCACTCTCATTTTCACAATTGTTAGCTTCCTCTGCTGTGTGAGATCAAAGTGCTCATATTAACTTGCCTAGGTCAGTTACTATTTTGATTAATGACATTACTTTTTGAAAATTTCATATTAATAAAATAAAAATAATTTGAATGAAAAATTGAAATATCCATATTAATTCCTTAGGTTGGTAGCCATTTCTAATCTTGCTAAAATAAAAAGTCATAAATTTTATGAGAAACAAGAGTAATATGTTTAACAAGATTGATATAGTTACATAATACCTTTATCATAGAAATAACAAAATCCTTCAGAGCAAAAAACTGATAAACAAAAAATATTCGAAGTGTTGACCAAATCCTTCAGTGTTTTAAAAGAGTCTTAAAGGAGGGAACAGAAACGGTAAAGCAGAATTTTAGGAAGTAAATTCCAAAGTTTAGAAATATGACAGAAGACTGAGTAGAATTTAGTGCAAGACATAAGCAACTGAATTATGGATGAATGGAGGTGTACTGGGGATAATGGAAAGCCATCAGGGAAATTTTATCACATTTAGACTGAGCCATTCCAAAATGCACAGATAATATTTCTGACAGTAAATAATCCTAGTTGGGACAAAGAGGGTGATTTTACAGAGTAGACCGGCCTTGTGAAGGGCTAAGTGGTCAATTGGATAAAATGCTGTCTTTGTATCAAGAAAGGAAGAAAGAAATACATTTATAAAGCAATTTGCACAATGACTAGAGGTCTCGATGCATTTGAGAGGAAATGAACTAATTCTGAAGTACAGTCACTGTTGTAATGTTGTAAACTTTCACACTGACTGTTAGTTTGGTTTTTCTATCCATTCTTTGAACTACAATTGGAGCTGAAGGATCTTGGAGAACCAATTTAAGCACTGGTGAATACACGAAGCAAATCTTTCATCACTTGAATGCTGGACTGGTGGTGTGGTCATTGAAATGAACTACATCAATAATTTTTCATATTGGCTGGTAGATGGCAGCAACTGTATTGGAACAACAAGGTGCAGGGCTGGATGAACACAGCAGGCCAAGCAGCATCATAGGAGCAGAGAGGCTGACGTTTCGGGCCTAGACCCTTCATCAGAAAAGGGGGAGGGGAAGGGGGTTTTGAAATAAATAGGGAGAGAGTGGGAGGCGGATAGAAGAGGGATAGAGGAGAGGATAAATAGGTGGAGAGGAAACAAACAGGTCGAAGAGGCGGGGATGGGGCCAGGAAAGGTGAGTGTAGGTAGGGAGTTGGGAAGGGGATAGGTCAGTCCAGGGAGGACGGACAGGTCAAGGGGGTGGGATGAGGTTGGTCGGTAGGAGATGGAGGTGCGGCTTGGGGTGGGAGGAGGGGATAGGTGGGAGGAAGAACAGGTTAGGGAGGCAGGGACGAGTTGGACTGGTTTTGGGATGCGGTGGGGGGAGGGGAGATTTTGAAACTTGTGAAATCCACATTGATACCATTGGGCTGCAGGGTTCCCAAGCGGAATATGAGTTGCTGTTCCTGCAACCTTCGGGTGGCATCGTTGTGGCACTGCAGGAGGCCCAGGATGGACATGTCGTCTGAGGAATGGGAGGGGGAGTTGAAATGGTTCGCGACTGGGAGGTGCAGTTGTTTGTTGCGAAC